CATGGTATATGATCAAATGGAGAAAATATTAATTTGTTTTCTTTTTACAATCTATCAAAATGGATTGTTAATTAAAAAATTATCTAAGTTTGAAGAGTTTTTGAATATACTAATTAAAATAAATAATCCCAGCTAAAAATTTCATTTTTAAATTAATCTTTTTCTATATCAACTCTAGATTCAGTCATATGTATAGTGTCCATAAGTTTGAAACCATAGGCATTATGTTGATTTTTGTTTATTCTTTTACAGGTAAAGCGTGATATTGAGTAAGGAGAAACAAATTCACAGGAACCTTTGGTCAGCAGGAAGTTGCTGAAGAGTTAACAGGTTGTGTCCAAACTGCTATGTGTTATTAGTGAAATGTCTAAATGCAGCCTGTTAAATTCTTCAACATCATCACTTTGACTGCAGGTTTTCACCATCAAAATAACTTGAATTTGATCTTCCTCACTTAGCATCAACCTTTGTACACGAATATAGATCAACTTTGTTGATTGATGGTTTTAGATTTATGAGACATACTAATTATTATTAGATACGGTCTTGTATAAATCAGATCATGCAAATTATGCAAAATGATTTAACTTTTATTGTAGACAGGGCTATTTTTCATCTGGAACACACTGATACATCACACCATAAGATAGCATTAAAAAATGTTAGTAGTTAGTATGTAAAAATAAGTTTTTATGTTCCATTGCCATATATGCATACAGTCAGAAATGTTTTTAAAAAAAAGAGCACAGTGTATATGATTTTAATTATTTTTCTTATATTCAATAAGAAAAATAATTAAAATCATATACACAGTAAAATAATTGATTATGTAAAAGAAAACAATAGCTAATAAATGCATACATTGAAGAATAACATTACACAAAAATTATTAAAATTAAAAACTAATCACAAGATCATCGTTTCAATTAAATATCCAAATTTTGTTTAAAAAAAATGAACAACAGAACTCATTTATAATAACCTCAGATACGTTACAATGATAAGATGGATTTAATGAGACATTATAGTCTGTCCTAATTTGCGTGTAAAAGAGAACATGCTGTAACATAATACATGGATAAACATCATTAACACTTGATTATTACAATAAACTTTTCCTTGAATAGTATTAGAGAACAATACCTTTATAGAACAAAATTTAATATTTTAGTCCTTAATACTGCAATTTTATAGCCCACACGAGAAAATTAAAATTTAAAATATGAACAATTTCAAACGAATTTGTAAAAAAGTAAAATAATAATTTACTTGTATGAAAATTTACTAATGGGTAATTTGAAGTCGAGCATATTTCTCTTTTGGCAAATAAAAGCGTGATCTGAAAGACGTCTACTATCATTTATAACCCCACACACTTTTAGAACAGAGTAATTAAAAAGTTCAAGGGCTAAGACTAGATCAAATTATATAGGTTGATGTCTTCTTGGATTGTTGCCATTAATTTTGCAAGTCTTTGAAGAAATCGTGTTTTATTGTTTCAATTCATAAAACACCTTGAAACGATACATTTCATATGATTTAAGAGTTTAAATAAGCGGATATTACATCATTCAAACTAAAATTTTATGTTCCTTTGTAGAAAACCTTACAGAATAATAATAATAATAATAAACAAACCTTATAAATATTTAATTCTGAATTTACTTTTATCTATACATTTTATATTACACATAAACTAAATATATAATTAAAATTAATTTTAGTATTTAGAAAATTACATTCTAAAGTATAATATAAAATTTATTTATGTAAGACCAGTTTCGAACAATAAAAGATTTAAGGTCATTGATCTAAATAACAATAAATCAATAAATTTAAAGATCAGTTTGATAATCTTGCTATTAATTTGTTGAAAAAGTAACTTATAATCATTTTAACAACCAACAAAACTGCTTTACACTGCTTTAAGCAGACATGATTCTGTTTTGTTAAAGTAAGTCAAAATATAAAAATTCATATAAGTTTTCTTTGTTTAGCTGCTTATAAAACTTTATAGCCTTACAGAATTTACTATAATTTAAAGAACATAACTAAAAACTATACATTAATTTACACTTTAAATAAATTAATACCTTTAATCCTAAAGAAAACAAATTCCATCATTAATGTCCCTATTGGATTCTTATAATGATATACAGTATGAAACAACAAATAATGCACTAGATGGAAAAATACTACAGTAATTATGAAAGCTTATTACTTTAATGTACTACTTAAATATTCATCAGTGATTCACATAATGCAAAACAAGTTATTTAACTCGTTTGTATGCCAACTCATCTCGTATAAAGAAAATTAAAAGATAAATAGATAAATACATAGTAATTAAGAATGCAAATTATCGCAGTTTTTCCCTATAACACACAAAAATTTATATAGAAATTTAATAAGTGCCGAAATCAATAATCTTTCAGATGAAATTTTTATAACGCCACCATCTGCTTTCATTTATTAAAAAACAATAGACTTATAAAAGAAAAACTATTTTCAATTAGGGCATTGGCCTTTTGATAACAAATAAATTTAGAAAATAAGTTGGATTGTGGAATTTCATTCTATAAAAAAAAATGTAGAGATTTCTTATAAAAAATTTATATTCTTTAAGAGATTTCTGAAATCACATTATTTATAAATAATTATATTAAAAAAAATTTTTATATGGTATTTATTTTCAATTTTAAATCATTAGATCATACTAATTTAATTATTATTATTTTTTTTATATCAAAAATGTTTTATTATTTTTAATTTCTTCTTAAAAAATAAAGAAAATGTAATAAAATTTTAGTTATAAAACATTAATTATAGGAAAGGTATATATATATTTTTTTAATCTTTGTAAGAGACAGATTACTGCTTAACGTAATTAACATCAACTATAGTTGTATAGCTAACAAGGCAATAGATGTCCTAACAAGAGTTGAGAGACTGACTACTTAAGAATAATCTTTTTTTTTTTTCTTCTTGAAAGCTTGTTCTTAAGTCTTGAATCTCTTAAGTTTTTTTTTTCTTTTATTTATTTTTTCTTTTTTGAATAAAGTAGTTGTGAGGCCCACCTAATTCCCTTCCTGATAGGTAGCCAGTCTTTCCAGAGGTTAAAGGTAGTTGGAGCGTGGCACTTGATACATCCTTCCAGAACTAGTGTTTGATTACCAGGGTCACATTACATATCCTTGTCCCATAAGGAACACGTTCTACACTAAAACTGAATCACACTACTTCTACAGTAAACAATCAATAAGACATTAATCAGAAACTGAATGATATATCATTTTCTAAAGAATACCATTTTGCAATTTAAATTACATACAATGTTGGTACATTATTTTACTTATTTCCTTATTAATATTTTATCAGGAAATATAGAATATGAAAAATAATGAAAACTTTCATTTTTATGTCTAAATTAATTACTAAAGTGAATAATAAATTAATGTATAATAAGCAATTTTTGAGGAAAATTTGATAAGACAGTCTACAGAGTTTATTAAATCATAAAATTTATCAAAGTTCACTTGTTGCTCACTAGAAACAAAACTAAATTTATAACTATATTAAATGTTAAATGTAAAGCCAAAGTACATTTAACAGAACTTGGAATCTTCATAAAAATATTTACATAGAAAGTATTCAGTTCATTATCTAAAAATAAACAATAAACTTTCATTTCCATTTGGGTTTAGCATACTGTTATGAGTCATATGACAGAATTATCTATAAAATGATAAAAATATATTTAATTTTCACATATATTATATAATAAGGCTATTTTCTGTATAGTAAAATCTTTATTGATTTAAACTATTTAATTTACAGCACACAACATTTATCCAAAGCCTAATTACTACTACACAATTAAAACAATAGAAAATAAGTCTTGCAAATTCCAAAAAGAACTTTCAATGACATCATATACAAAAAATATAAGAAACATATCAAATATATGGAAGGCAAATATCAGTAAACTTTTTATAGAAATACCATACTTCAAATCTAACTGTAAATCAATATACAGAAATATTTAATATAAATATTTTTATTATTGCTCAAACATAGTAGATAATAATTGATATTATGTATTTAATTACTCTAACATAACAATTTATATTGTACTAAACTCTGAAAGTTATCAAATAACAGAATATCATATTGTATTCAATTCCAATGAAAGAAAAATGTTTAATATATATATATGTGTTTAATATATATATATATGTTTTTATAAATATACCAATAATCCAGACTTTTTTCTTTCATAACTTTGTCACAAGATTTACAACAAATATATTTAAAGCGTACTAATGCAAAATGAAAATTGTTTATTTTAACTAAGATATTCATGGTTTGCTTATGTATTTATATCTCATGTCTTTTTTTAGTAGATTTAAAACTCGAAACATCATTAGAATTTCAAATAAATTCAATAAATAATGAATGGAGATGAACAAAACTTTACGACCATTAGATCTTTTTATTTCGGTGGCACATTATAGCTTTACAGGGCCCAGGCATAATATTTGAAACAGGGGGCCCATACGGCGTAGACTTCATTTTTCTTCCCGGGAGTTTTTTCTTATAAAATATTGATTTGGGGCCCCGTCGTTGGGGTCCCAGTCAATTGCCGTCGGATAACACGCCGCAGTTTTATATATAATTTTATAATTTAGTAAGGGGGAGAAAAACAAAAGGATGATGAATGAACACATCATACACAATAACTCCTTATGCTTAATAATAAAAGAGAATGAAGCTACGTTCTTATATCCAGTACACTTGAGCATTAAACACAATATAATATTAGAAAGATAAATGAAAATATTATTATTATATTATAAATAATAATAGAAAATATAAATATTTGATAGTATTTAGAAAAACTGTGTACAGGTTAAATATTATAGAGAGTTTTAACGTGTAAATCGAGGCAGGAAGACGTATTATGTTGAAACAAAGGTCTGAAGGAGCCATCAGCTGCTTACCTCGCCATTGGCTGTGTTGATACCAAGGTAGATATCCCCGAACGATCCGCTACCTATTTTCCTAACTAAACGATATTTTCCACCGACAATAAATTCTGATCTCGACGAATTATTCGCCGTTGCCATTATTTCTTCACTGCATCCAGTTTTGCTCTAACGATACAGATTCTTTCTCACAACAAATACCTCTCCCGTACTCCAACACACACATACACACACACACAAAACAGTTCAACACTTAAGGTTGCCGACCTAGCCTAGCAAGAACATTGTGACGTCAGGAAACAGGAATATAAATAAGTGCGACATCTACCAGAGAATAAATTTAAAAAAAAATACGATTTATTTATTTCAAATTAAAAAAAAGAAAAGAAAAAAAAAAGAAAACTAAAATATTATTTTATAAATTTGTTTCAGTTTTAGTTTTTAATATTACGATGCGTTAATAATTTTATTTAATATTAATAGATAAGTTTTATTATTGGGTAGAGTTAATAGTCGGCGCTACTTATCCTCGCAGCATTTTGTGGTGGCGCTAGTGAAATGTAAACAATATGGCTACTTATTGAGGATGACACGTGTGGTTATCTTAGAAAGCAAGATAGTATGTCCCACATCTAACTAACAGTAATTAACAAATTTTATTACAAAGAATCAGTTTTACATGAATTCTTTATAATTTACCATGCTAGTAGTTATTTAATAATAATTAAATAGGTACCTTTTATTTTTTTGAAATTTGGGGAGCTGGTTAAGATTAAGTAAATGCCTACCTAATTTTTACTAAACCAGGCAAGCAGGTTGGTTCTGTACCTAAATAGAAGACCAAGCCTTTAGATTAATAAGAGATCACAAATGAAAATTGATAAACCATATATCTAAGCTTTCAAATGTAGGTTATCTAGGGAAGAAGACGTGTAATTCAATTCTCTATTGTAGTTTCAATAAAAGAAAGAATAACAAACGGATTACTACATTGGCTGCCTGACAAGATTCACTTGCATCAGGCTGCCATTGATTATTCATTAATTAAGACAAGTAAAAATTATTATGAATATCCTTTATCAAACAGCAATATGCAAAATTCGTGCGGGAATGCTTCGTGCTAATAGTGCTTCCTTGTGGGTGATTATTTGTTTCAGCTATCGATAGGCGCCATTTGACTGGTAATGAATAATTAATATCTATTTGATGTATTCGGAAATATCTTCTAGCTTTACGTAATTAATATAGATAATGATAATTGTAAAATCATCGTTTAATTTAACTTTCAAAAGTATTTAAGTAAATATTTAAGTGGGAACAGTAAACGCATAAGCCTTCCGTTCTGAAGGACCCGGGATCGAATCCAGGCGAGCAATCGCAGGAACTTTTCTTGGATGGTCTGTCTCGGATATTTCGGGCCCTTTCCCATATATTCTCATCGTGGGTCAAGCCGGACATACGATGAATGTAGTGAAATGCCCTCTTAGTGCCTATAGGGCCGAAAAGATAAAAAATAAAAGAAAAATGTAAGAGCACGTTTCTAATATACTGTGAAAGAGTAACTTTTGGAATCAAACTTATAGTTTGATAATCTGGCATTTTCGATAACCCGGCCCACTTTATAGTCTTGTCGGTGTTGAAATAATGAACTTATAATTATAATGTAATGGATGGTGTTGAAATTATACTGTAATGGTTCTCTTCATTGTTTTAATAATTTTTTTTGTTTTAAGATAACAAATAGATCTATTTTTTAAAAAGTTCTTGGTTTTCTGCTTGGTGGGAATTAATAGAGCTTTTAAAATCATACCCATTATGACTTTGGGCAGGCCAATATTTAGACAATGTACACATAGATACAAACATAGACATACACGTTAAACACACAGGCTTCGGACCATCATAAAATGCACTTGATGATTTCCTACAACTAGATACACCGAAATACTATTTACAGAGGCTGTCGCACTACTTTACTTTAGCCTACTTGTCAAATCATTGGATTTTTTAGTTGTCGATTTTATGCCCAGATAAAGGGAAAAGATTTACAGTACATCAGTGTTTCCCAACGTGGGGTCCACGCTCCACACAGTGGCAATTGGATTGTTAAGGAGGCCATTCGAAAATGGACCCGTCCAAGGTTTAAGTGAGTTAATGAAGACAAGTACTAATCGAAGATAAAAAAACTGGGATTAGTACTTGTCTTGTACCGGCTTTTAACCATAATAAATCCGTCGCGCAGTGGTTTTTAACTTTAGTAACTGATTTTTATGTCATCGTGTCACTAGCGTAGCGTAGTGGAGAAGGCAGGGACTGCCCGCCCTGGGCGGCACTTTTTAGGGGACGGCAAAATTTGACAATAAATAATAATAATATCTTGTATGAGTTTGAACCATTTTATTTCATATTTTCGTGCACCTACGATTCGCCCGATTGAAATGAGCACGGAATACCATCCAGACAGTTCGGAATCGACTCGCCGTCCGGGGATATCGTGCGCAAGCTGTCAACCTTTTTTTTTATTTGCTTGTATGATTTATTCGTATATATATATATATATATACATCTTCAATATCCAATAGAGCTAGGTCACTTGCGTTACTCCTATCCAATTCTCCCTAGTCGCTAACTGTAACTAACTTAGAACCGGCATGCACTGCAAATTATTCTTCGCATTGCAAAATGACATACGCATGCGTCAGGAACTTCTGTTCGAACAAACGTCACCTTCTGTCCTGGTCAGCGATTTTAAAAAGGTGGCAACACTAGCACGGAATTTTTCATTACTTATTCTGTGACGAAACTGAATTTTAGTCTTTTATATTGAGATACGTAAATAAGGGGGGCGAAATTTTCCTCCGCCCCGGACGGCTGACACCCACGCTACACCACTGCATCGTGTAGAATACTTCAAGCACTTGCTAGTACATGTAACTTTTAATCAAAACAAAAAAACCAAATGTGTATTTTTCTCCATTCATTATATCTTTAAAATTTTTTTAAGTATGAAAATTAAATTTTTAAGAAAACTTGTATATATAGAACTAATGTTGTTAATCATCATCATCATCATCATCATCTTAATCATACACCAGTGCCGTAACTAGCCATTCCTGTGCCCTGTGCAAGAATTTGCATTTAGTCCCCTTAATTAATTAGGTTTGGGAAAATAATATAACAAATACTTACATTTTGGGCCCCCTTCCAAGTGAGCCCTGTGTGGGTGCACCTGTCGCACCTGCCTAGATACGCACTGTCATACACCATTCACGAATTTAGGCCATGTTGACCAGTTTTAGTATCAACTAGACAGGGTCTAGGAGTCATTTTAGTTGACGTCCTTGTCGTCTTCGTCCAGGTGCGACAGGATATTGTAAAACTGCATTAGTTATCTTACCCGACAACATTCGAGATATATGTTGAAGTCATTTTTCTCTACATGTGGAGAGTTTTTCAATTAATGGTTGCATATTGAATTCATGTCCTTATTATTTCGACAGTAATCCAGTAGCGTATATCCGGCCGTTCGGTGCGTAAACCTCATTTCAGTTGCCTGTAATCTGTTAATATCTTTCTTCTTTAGGATCCAGATTTCACTTCTGTACAAAAGAGTTGGAAGAGCCAAAGTTTTATATATAGTTTTAGCCTGGAATGTTTTTGTACAAGGTGTGGTTTTAAAGTGTTATTTATTATTCCTAATATAATCTTGTTAGTGATATAATTTTTCATATTTTGGATTTTATAATACATTGTCATACCGTATTATTTCATGGGAAAAATATTGCAATAAAGTATTGTTATTTTGGTCATATAGCATGTTTGTTTGCTTGGGGTCAAAATGAACCCATGGTACCAAGAATGTGATTTTGTTCATAGTACCAGATCAGTTTTAATAAAAGGTACTTTTTAGTGGTACTTCGAATATTTTTCATTTTTGAGCTAAAAGCCCATTCGATACGCCTGAATATATCACACTACATAAAAGTTCATACTATTTTCATTACTTTTCTGGCACATTATGAGAAATTGTCTTTAGTATAGAGTTTTCTCCATAATACAAAGTAGTATTAATTGGATTATCAGTGCTTTTAAATACTGCAACACAGTTTCTGGCTACGGTGGCACCTTTTAACTGCAGTAATGAAGAGAAAATTGAATATAGCAATTTGACCATCTACAATTGAAAAAAATGAGAAGAGAATTAAATGAATGAAATGAAAACTTTTCCAAACCTTAACGAAAAATTTTTTCTTTACGAAAAAGAATCCTTCAACAGAAATTCCAAGTGGCATTTTTCCAAATCGTTTCATAAAATCCAATATCTGGAATTAAAAGAAAGAAAATTGTTAATATATAAATTAATGAATATGGTATATGAAAAAGACATTTAAAAAGTAAGTTAAAAAAAAAACCTTGAATTTCAATTGAAGCTGAAAATCAGCAGACGAAATTCTTCCAATGGCAATGAAGTCGCCATATAACTAAGAAAGAAATATGATTTTAAGTAAAATAACAAAACATGAAAGTTAAAATAACTGAATTAAACATTATTCAATTCTTACCTTTGAAGTGATTATCGATAGAAAGTATGCTATAATCAGACAACCCGTTAATAATATGATTGATAAGACCAATGTTAATATTGTTACAAAAAATTCTAATTTTATAAACAATAGACCATAAATGAGAAAACAAGTGAAGTGAGTGAAGAAAATGTAACCAGAAAATGCAAAGAATTCCCATAATTGATTAAATTGTTGAAACATTTCCCATATTTCCGTGTGTTTTTCAATTAAAACATATATTGTTTCTTTCAGATTAGGAATTTGTTTATTTATATCATTTCTTTCGTTTTGGATATTAATTAATCTGTAATATATAAAATAGAATACAGATGTAAAAATACATAGAACAAATAATGTTTAACCTACGCTGTACAGAAAATAAACTCTGAAAGAAATTACACACAACACTGCGGTGAGTTGCGAATTTGTTGTGTTACGTACACCGGGAAACAAACAGATATCGGTAGATATGCATAGAAATGATACAATTACGATATAAATAATAAAAGTGCCAAGCATCAGTACATTCAAAAGCTTTCATATTTTAACTTCTCTACAAAAATAAAATCACTAATATTGAAATGTAATTGTGGTTAAACATTGAAATCCATCCTCCACATAAGATTCTATCATCGTAGATATTTATGGTTACTCTTAAGACGGTAAACCACAAAAATACTTCTAGTCCGATTTGATACAGCGAATACAGTTTTTCACAGCGTGGTATATAATA